ATTGTTGTATGTGATGCTGTGAAAGAGAGCATATGGTTAAGAGAACTGTTAAATAAAAATGGTTTTGTAAATGAATCTGTTAGTATTCATATTGATAATCAAAGTGAAATTCATTTAAGTAAAAACCCTGTTTATCATGATAGGATAAAGCATGTTGATATAAAATTTCACTTTGTTAGGAATATGGTTGAAAAGGGCTTAATCAGTCTAGTTAAAATTCCTACAGAATATAATCCCTTTGACCTTGGAACAAAAATTTTCCACTAAATAAATTTAAAAACTGTTTGAAAATTCTAAATATAACCTAAATTGTAATTAGGTGACATTCAGCAACTAAGTTGAGAATAATACTAACTCTAATTTTTTTTTTTTAAAGTACAGTAGAGCTAAATGAAGTCAAAAAATGTTTGAATCCACTAGTTGAAACAAAGAAATAGTTCAGCAAGGTGGAGAATGTTAAAAGGATGGGTTGCCTCACTATTTCTTTTTAATTGGGCCCTACTAATTGAAAATAGGAGGAGGCCCAAATCTCTTAACATATTCTCGCGTTTTCTGGTTTCACGCTTTTGTGCCTCTTGTGGTTGGGTGTGTGCCGTACGCGTGGCACACCCCAACCATTAGATAAAGCCGGTCCAACTGATTTTGATATTTACTTGGTTCTTGGTTGTTTGGGGTTTTAGTTGCACTCTCTCTAGAACTTTCTGTCTTTCTCTTTGTGTGAGAGTTCGTTCGTGTTTTTCCTTTCTATGAAATGTAATACTAAATCTGTGTGATTTTTTGAAAGTCCTTTGAGTAAGGATTGTAAAGTTCGAGTAATCTTTGAGATATTGTTAAAAAGAAATCTGTGTGAAAAAGAGGCTAGAGAAAGTCAAAGAAATCAGAGATTTCTTCGAAGATTTTGTACTGTTCTTTGTGAAAATTAGTGGAAACTCGAGCATATCTCTTGATTGAGGCTCAACGGTGATTAGATCCTTGGACTGAACATTCGGGCTCCATTTTGGAGTAAAACATATCTGGTGTTCAAATTTCGTTTATTCTATCTTTTATTCTGAAGTTATTTTTTTGATTCGTGAATAAACATTTAAAATACAAGATTATATCAACTCTAGGACCAACAAAAATAAATCATTTACAGCAACCATTAAACCAGCCTTTCTTTTTCTATTCATTCAATCCAAAGTTTTCAAAGAGACAATCACAAGTAGAAAGGGATAACAGTTGTAGCAAGAGGGAAAATCAGGTAGAATTAGACTTTTGAGCAACTCAATACTGTGATTACCAACTGAATCGCTGCCATATATGGGTCCGTCGAAGATTGCGCGGGAGGCGGCGTGGAACTCGGCTCAAGTGTGGGCCATTATTATCTTCTTAAAAATAAATACAACAATTTCTATTGAAAAATCTTATCCCGTAATTTCCTCCCAGTCTCAATTTCAAGATTAGAGTTCCCCAGATTTGATAAACAATTCAACACCGCGTTCTTCATTTTTGGGATTCTAATAGAATATGAAGTAACAACATGCGGCATTACAGGAATAAGTGAATGCCTTTGAAACAAAGTTGAAATCTTTGATTATTGTGGTAGATTTGTGGTGAATTCGGTTGAATTGTTGATTTAGGTTTTGTTTGTTGGTCTGAAGAAATTTGGATTCTCGACCATGTTATAAGGTATTGAAATGGTGATTGGGGAGAGAAAAGGATAAAGTCCCTATGCAGCATTTAATCCAATATTATGATTACTTCCTCTTGAAATCAGTAAGAGAGTAAAATGGTACCCCATTGTAGGAACGCAATTTGTATTGAGAAGGATGAATATTGTGAGGTTGAATGTGCATATGTTCAGCCATTCTATTTTTGTTGCACATTTGAAACACACTCACCTTGTTAGTGTCAAATATTAGAACTTCGGACAAAGAAGTGCAGTGAGAGAGTAGCCAAGCTATTTTCGAAGGTCCCAATTGTCAATAAATTTTGTTGGTGTCAAAATTGTAATTCTTATCAAAATTCATTTCCCAAATCTGAGTATGATATCAAAATGTCTTAATTATAGTTGGTGTTCAATGTTATTTTTTACTTTTTTTTTAGTAACAAACATCAATGTTACCTTTTAATTAAAAAAAAAAAAGAAGTGATACTTAACTTAAAATAACACTTAACATGGTGTCACCTAATATTACACAGTATTTTTACTTTTATATATATATATATATATATATATATAAATTTTCTATCATTTTCTTGAAATATGAATATTAACTTCAAATAAGGTTTAAAATTATTAAATCATTGAATCATAGATGATCTCAAACTCATTTTGTGGATTACAATCTATGTGAGATGATGACTCGTGGAAAATTATATGAAATGTCAGGCGAACAAAATGGATGGTGTTTTTTGGTGTTTGTCACTTTTTTTTGAGTTTGTCATTTTTTTTTTCAATTCTCACATTTTTTTAATTTTTTTTTTGAGTTTGTCACTTTTTTTGAGTTTGCGTCATTTTTTTTTTTAGTTTTGTCACTTTTTTTGAGTTTACGTCATTTTTTTTTTTTGAATTGTGTTAAAAAAAAAAAAAAAAGTGACATTCTGCCCTTTTAAATTTACACAGTATTTTTTATTTCCAAAAAATATATATTTTTTTTAGATTTTGTCACTTTTTTGAGTTTGTCACCTTTCAAGTTTTGTCACTTTTGTTTTAATATTTTTCACTTTCTTATCTTCTTAAAAATATGACATGATATGTGATAAGAGCTATCACTACGTTTACGTGGATTGTTCTGAACGTGCTGAATATGTTAAGAACATGATTATTGGTACTATACAAATGGATTGTGCAATTTTGGTGTTTGTCACTTCTTTAAATTTGTGTCACTTTTTTTTGAATTTTGTCAATTTTTTAGTGTTTGTGTCACTTTTTCTGAATTTTGTCACTTGTTTTGAATTGTGAAAAAAGTGACATAATTTTTATAAAAAAAGTGATATAATGTCACTTTTTAATTTTACACGGTATTTTTTATTTCAAAAAAACTTTTCATATGATTTTTCAAAATATCTCTAATTTTAAGGGTATTTTTGTACGTTTCCCCTAAAACTAACTGAGTAAATGTAAATATTTGGGCCCAGAACTTTGGATCATAAATGGGCCTTCTCTCTTTCTGTTCAATTTCATATCTTGAGCTCTTGTGGATTAGATGCGATATTTACACAAAATAGCACTAAATTTTTTCGAAACTTGGCAAGAAGTGCCCTTTTGAATCCCCCGCCTCGTCCCGTCCCATCAATATATTTTCTATCACCATAAATCAATTAATTTTTTTTGCAATTGCCGTGACTAGTATTTTTATCTTTCTCGATTAGAGACTTAGAGTCAAGATTATCGTCCTAATTAGATAAGAAATAAATTTTATTTTTTTCATTAATTTATTAATTTTTATTTACTTGATATAGGTCAATGCTTGTGATGTGAATCCAACTCTCCACATCTGGAACGAAACCCGAATTGAGCTTCCCAGCACAGTAACCTCAGTTGAGGAAAAAAAATTGCAGGCACATAAATAAAATATATGATCAAGAAGCTTGGTACGGGTAGAGAAAAAGAAAAATAGAAAAAGTTTCACTTTCCATGTAACTATTTATCTTCTTGGATCAACGGCTAATTATTGTTTTAATAAGTTATTGCACCGCCAACAAGTCAATCAGGTTCACACTCCATTTCAAACAGATTCTTCATTTTATTCTTTAACTTACCCCATTAACAATTGTTTTTCATTGTTGTACACTTTTTTTTAGGTCGGTTCATATGTATTACCATTTATTCGCCAGGAAAAACATCAATTCTCATTCAAGTCGTGTATTTTAAGCATGCTCATCAGCATAATAAATTGTCCGTAAGAGGAAAGAATCTTCATAGTGTAAAAGTAGTCTAACTAGGGAAATGGCCTGTGTACAGGGAGTTTTGCAAAGATATTCTATAGGTTAGACACATACGGTGGATCTCATGTGAATATTTTTTTGTAATAGGCTCCATTGATGTGAGTATTCTGTAAAACAACTGTAAAAAAAAAAATTCCGTAAGTGTAGCATTACTCGTCTAACTATCTACATGCAAAATTTCTCATTTCCACTTGAGAACACTAGCCTTCACCAGTTTACAATATAACATATGAAATCCACAAAAAGTGGTGCCCTAATTGAAATTCTGTGAATGTAGGTGTTAATCTTTAACTTTCGCTTTTTAGTGCTATTTGTATCAATTTTGGTAGTTTTTTTATCTACCGATTATCCATCTCAAACACTGGCTTTTGGAGTTTTGGTGATATTTTTCTTTATGTTGTGGCTCAGGACCTCTGTCTGACTCCTCAAAATGAATTTGGAACTTTATAAGTCTTGATTCTATAATATTAGAGGAGGTGTCGCAGTTGACGAATGAAAGTTTTCTTATATTCAAGTCAAAGAAAGTGAATCTATAAGAAAGAAAACGTAGTCAAACGACTATGCATGTTTTGGACGATCGTTATTGTAATGATCATGCAACACCCCACACTACAAGAAAAATGACCATTTGCAACATCAAAAAGGCAACATTCGTTAATTGAATGTTGCTAAAGAGATCTATCGCAACATTCTATTTAGCGAATGTTGCTATTAGTTGACACAATTGAGTTTTGGCAACATTTTTAAAATGAATGTTGCTATTGTCACTTTTTGCAACGTTCATCGATCGTTGTGAAAAGTTTTACTTTTTGTAACATTCTCTGAATGTTGTTAAAAATCTTAATATAGCAACATTCAAAGTCCGTTGCTAAAAATGCCTTTTGCAACATTCTTCGACTGTTGCTTGTTGCTGAAAGTGTCACTTTTGCAACAACCTTTGAATGTTGCGAAATTCTTATTCACTAATGTTGTCAAAATATATGCAAAACCCAATTGACCCATTTAATACCCGACCCGACCTATTTAATACCCGACATGACCCATTTAATACTCAACCCATAAGAAAACTCTCGATTCAACAAAAAAAACATTTCCCTTGCCCTAAATCTCAAAACGACTGTATCTCCTTCTTCTTCTTTGGGACTCTGCCTCTTCATCCTCTTCATTCATTATGTTAGACTTCGTCCAATGGTGAAGCTTGAAAGTTGCATTTTATGCTGTATTAAGGAACTTATTGAAGGTAGTCAGGTTGTATATCTTATTGGTGATTGTCTACTGGACTAAAAAATTGGCTTATCAGAGTCCAAGCAATTGATCAAATGTCTATTTGGTATTTGATATTCGGGTTTAGGAGAGTGTGATGAGATATGTTATAAAGACCCAGTTCTATAGGACCGACAATGGAGTGCTTATATTGACCGTTTTCGTGGTGCTACCAGCTACTCGGAGGTTTTTCCTTCCCTTCCTTTAGTCTGTAATTCTTTCATGTTGTGCTTGCTTGCTCATATCTCATTTCTAAAATAGCAAGTTCATATCTCATTTAGCGATTATATGCTTCTATCTTAAATGCAATTGTCTATTAGATATATGAAGTGTTATGAGGATTTCTGTTTCCCATTAAATCCATCAGTTATATATTTATTTATTTACATCCACTAAAAAAAAATAATAAAATCAATAATATCTAAAAGTAGCACCTGAGTATTGCAAATTTAAGTGGAATCATGTATTATTTTAGTTATTTGTCGTGGCCACAAATGAAATGGATTGGGTATGCTTTGGATAGGTTCTTGGTGTACTTGGGTGAACCAACCAGATTTTGTGACAGAGGGAGTACTTCAAACAAGGAATTTTAGCATGTAAGACAATTTTACATTTTCTGTGTTAATGTCTATGAAATTCGATTATTTTCATTTGAAATGATTAAATTTGATATGGTTTACAGAATCTAATGGAATATATGATGGTGCTGGTGAATTGTTTCAGGGATGAAAGTGGTTGGTGAATGGTAGCTCCCGGGCTTTCTTTTTTGTAAACTTGGCGAAAGTCCTTTGTAAAATTTCCAAGCTCGACTAATCAATTATCACATGGCTAAGCTAGAGATTCATGACCTTATTTTGTAACTAGGATTTAAGTCTTCTACAACTCATATCATATCCATATTTTGCAATTGTGAGATGAATTACAATAGTTATCGTTATGGCAATGATGTGGGTTTTATGTTTATTTTTATGGAGTAATGAAATTATTATCAAATTTCTGGCCCAATTTTTTTTTTTTATTTTAAATTTGTTGGTTTATTTGAAATTCGTTATACTGATATTAAAAAAATATGAAATTGAAAAAGAAAAGGTAAATTAACCTACGGCAACGGTCGGAGAATGTTGCCAAAAATAAGGATAAAAGAATTGACAACAAATGGAAAACATTGCCAAAAGTATTTGCAACGTTCACCGAACGTTGTTGAAACAATTACCGCAACACGCAGTGAACGTTGCTAAAAAGTTTTTTGCAACACTCATTGAACGTTGCTAAAAGAGTTTTTGCAACACTCGCCAAACGTTGCTAAAAAGTTTTTTGCAACACTCGTCGAACGTTGCTAAACATTTTTGGCAACAATCGACAAACGTTGCAAAAAACTAAAGGCAATGTTTTTTATGACCTTTTGCAACGGTCAATGAACGTTGCCGTATCTCGAGACTCTACCGCAACATCGCATACCACAACATACACTCGAACGCTGCAAAAGGTAATGGGCAACGTTTTTTGACCGCTGCAAAAGGTAGTTTTTGGTGTAGTGCCAATTTTCTATATTAGATAATATAATATAATTTTCGGACATAAGAAGACTTTAGTAACAGTAAGAGTGAGTATAAGTTCAATGGAATTTATGCAAATATCTTTAATGATTTAATATTATTTATGATTAATATTCAAGAGTTTTGTGGCTTCCACGTGCACGTTTATTTGCATGTTCATGATTATGTAAAATTCATGGAAAGTAGATATCTTAAAAGAAGAAGAAGAAGAAAGAAAGAAATTTGTCACAATCCTTCATGGTTATTGAGGAGTGTTAAGAGGGACTATTGACATCCCGTTTTGTCTACGTACAATGTAGCGAGATTTTTCGACTACTCTTGGGATGATCACGACTTGTGTTACATATTGATAGCCATGCCTCTACGATGGGGTTTGCGACCATGAGGGGATGGTATAAGCGCATGCATAGACAATTAAGAAGATGGTAAGATCTGTACTTAGACTATCAATAGATGACTTCATTAAGTACATAGAACAGGAGTTTCAAGTCCAAAGGCAATTCGTTTGTGGAAACTTTTCTTTATAAATTATTAACGTATACTTAATTTTTATACTTATAAATATAGATACATTTTTATATTTGAAAACAACCAATTCAAGAAAAATAAAAACATGGGAAATACAACGTTTGATGTGTTGGAAAAATGGGTTGAGTGACTGACTTTGGCATAAAATTTGAGTAGGACTCGGTTGGTTATTTTGGAAGTTCAAGATTGATTTGTGTTCTTCTATGTGAGAACGTCGAAATCATATATTTACATGCCAAAAATTATGTTTAGGTGAATGAGAAATTGGAATTTAAAGTGTACCAATTGAAAGGAGTTAATGTGTTGGAGGGAAACAAATTAAGGTTTGTCCCACATAGTAAAATAATGAAAGCAAAAACCACCTTATATATGATTGCACTTTGGAAGTGTGTGATTATGTGTAATATAGAGGCTCTCTCTACGTGCGCACGCAAGTTGGCAAATCGGATCGAAATAGGTTTCGGACCTTGAAATATTAGCCCCTTAGGAGAGTCTAAGTTTTGCCAAATTTTCCTCTAAGTGACCTTTTAAATTCCAAAACTTTCGAAACTCCAATATTCATTGTTATTATAATATGAGTTAATTGCATTCATGAGGTTTAAGCTAACCCGTTTCCACTATTCCATACAAGAACAAGAAGCAATACAATTTTTGCATAATTTTTTTGTGTCTGCATATTGCATAGTTTGTACAGTCTCTTGTTTGTCCGAAATTTTTTTTGGTGATATTGTCCAAACATAAGTTCTGTTAGCCTAAGTAGTATTTGATGTGCTCAGATTCTACCATTCTCCTGTTGTAGTCTGAGAGATAGACGTCCGAATTAAATATCAAGCACTTACGATGAGAGGACGAATTTGTTTTAATGAAACCGTGTTTACACAGGCCTCAATTCAAATTTATTTATTTTTTGATTACTTGCTTTTGGCCAATTAGATTAACTTGTTATGTTTTATAGTAATTTAATCCACTATATTTTGGCTAATGAGATTAACATGTTATGTTTTATAGTAATTTAATCTGCTATATATTTTGGCTAACACTCGGTAAGTTCACTGCAAATTCGGCATCTAAGTTCACTAAATAGAGGGTAGTTACAAATCGGTATGCGCAAATTTAGTATCTAAGTTTATTGCATTTACATGAAGTTACGTATACGATAAGTTACATATACGGTATGCGTCAATCGGGTAAATTGTAAATCCGTTGTATGTCCATCCGAAGTTTGTTAATTCCGTATTCATTCACTAATATTTAGTCCAACATAATGTTGAGATTTTGTATTTTAGTTTTATTTTGAAGATTCTGATTCCCGACTTAGATAATTTCAACAATGAAAAAGCAACTTATATAATCTTGTTTGTACCTTCAACTTTGTACATACGATCAAGAAAGGAAAGGAAAAGTAAAAGGAAAATGAAATTGGAAAGGAAAAGGGAAGTAAAAGACAAAACAAAAAGCACTTGTAGACAATTATATAGAACACAATTTAGAAATATATATATATATATATATCTGTTTTCTTTTCTTTCTTTTTCTTTTTACTTGGAAAAATAATTTCTATTGTGAAAACGCAAATTACTCTTTTTGTATGGTTGTCTCATATTTTTGTTACTATGACAAATTATTTTCTTAGAAGATGAAAGTACGCTAACTTATAATATATCGAGATATCGAAAAATGAGATGACATCGTCGAAATTGATAAAAAAGAGAGAGTGACCGATGAAAAAAACCATTCCCTACCATTTTCCATTTTAGATTTTCGATTCACTTATTGCACACGCTCTTATGTTTGTTTCTTCACTGTTGAAATATATTATCAGCCTGTTTCGGAGTGATTGTTTGATCTAAAAAATTGTTTGGTCTAAATATATATTTAACTTTTTCTCCCACAGATGAATCCCAATTTTCTCCCAACGATAAACAAATTAATTCTCAAAATCATCCCAAACAAACTCTATATCTCTGACTGGGATTATACTTCTATTCTCTTTTTTTATCGTTTTCTCGCCGTTGAAACTCTGGTCCTTTTCTCAGCTCTGATCTTGAGAGATTAGACTTTTTGTATTTGACCTGGCTCGATCCAATTGTAATATATTTATATACAGGTATATATAGAAAGATTAGAAAACAGTGTTTTTGAGTTGACACTGAGAAGCTGCTGCTGCGATTGCGATGGGGCAGTGTTATGGTAAGACGATTCCCACCGGAGACAATGATGGTTATGCGACTACCACCATTACAGCCACCGCTGACGATGGAGGAGGGGGCGATCGGCCATCGGAGACGCCGGCACGTAACGGTAATCCATCGGCGAAGAATACTCCGGCGAGATCGTCGGCCGGAAACAGCTCCTGGCCTAGTCCGTACCCGTACGGCGGAGTGGGAGCTGGAGGGACCAGTCCTCTGCCAGCGGGAGTATCGCCATCGCCAGCGAGGTCGACACCTAGGAGGTTTTTTAAGAAGCCTTTCCCTCCGCCGTCGCCGGCAAAGCACATCAAGGCGTCGTTAGTGAGGAGGTTTGGGCAGGGGAAGACGCAGCTGGAGGGGACGATTCCGGAGGATGCTGCGGGAGTTACGGAGGAGCCGGAGAGGCACCAGGGTTTGGACAAGAACTTTGGGTATAATAAAAATTTTGGGGCCAAGTATGAGCTTGGGAAAGAGGTGGGACGAGGCCATTTTGGTCACACTTGCTATGCCAAGGGCCGAAAGGGAGATCTCAAGGACCTGCCTCTTGCCGTCAAAATCATCTCCAAATCTAAGGTCTGTCCGTGCTACGCCTGAACACATTTTCTAATGGAAATTTTATTTTTCAGATAAGATAGATGTTTGTTTTATCCTAGTACAAACTAGGATTGTGAGTGGATGACATGTAAAGCGAGCAGCATTTGCAAAAATCACAATGAAAGCAGACGTGGAATAGATTTCTACTAGTCCGATAATATTGTAAAAGAAAGGTGGAATAGATTTCTATATAGGATTGAAATGTAGTGTCCAGAAGGTAGCTTAATTAGCAATGTTGGAAGGAAAGGTGCTGTCTTTAGGTATCTTTGTTAACTCGTTTCTCGTATAGCATTGGAGTACTCTATTAGTCCAGTGCTATATTTACACAAGAGTTCGATGATATCAACTCTGTATTTGAGTCTGCATATTATGAACTTGCTGCAAGTTAGGTTAACATAAGCATACACAATGTTTGCTGTAGCCATCTGAGTCATCGTTCTGTTGATTTATGCTCAATTAAGTGTTGCTGTCGGTAGATAAAATCTGAGGACTATTGTTATGATGTTTTTGGTTTGTTCGGTGCAGATTGTTTGACATAGCATAGATGAAAAAGGTTTAGAAAAAACATCAATTAAATAGGATATGATCTATGTTGTAGACAAGCAGAATGGAGAAAGGAGATTTGTGTACTTCTGAACATAAAAAATCAAGTCAGTTTTTGTGAGTCAACTAGCTTGGCTTTATGAAGCATAGTTTTGAATTGGTATTCAGAAGCCATTACAGATGCAGTTAGTTTGGATCATGTACAGCACCATTACAATGAAGGGCCTTTAATAATAGTATGAGTAGAAAGGTAGAATGTATTATATTCTGCTACTAACATAACTAACCCAAACCAGAAAATGAAGTATCCGAATATACTTTGTAGTATAGACAACTACTTCGAGATGGCCATCCTTCTTACAAGATCATCATTTTTTTTAACATTGTCTTGGGCATGGCTAAAGCTTATGGATTGTCAGTACTGACAGCAACTGGGCTCTGTATGCCATACGGGAGGTGGTTTTGTAACTCAGAGTACATCAACAAACTTAGATGGTTAAATTTTCTGTTTGGTGAGATCGTGAATTGAAAATACTAGCGGACAGAAATGTTTAGAAGAACAAATGCAAAAGAGGGGGGGGGG